GACGGTTGCAGGGTTTGGTCGGCGCCGGCGTGGCAGCGACGCCGGGACCGTCTGGTGCGTGCGTCGTCGCTACGTATGGATCGATCCATCGGACTGGCTCTTTCTCTGTCTCTCTCCTCTCAACGTAGGAGTCCGTGTTGCCGTTGCACGCTTTCTTTGCAGGTGGCCCATGTGGAGGGAGGATGGGGTTGCTGTGTCTGCAAGCCACGGAAATTCCGTTCCGAGGAGGCAAAAGGACCGTTCTTTTGGTGATTCCTCGTTACAGTCCTGGGTTTGTTTAATGGCATCGAACGTGATCGATCAAACGGTCAATTCGAGCAGTACATAGATCATCGATATGATATCCGGCGGTGACGTGCCCGCAACGGAGTGCGCCCAGTGACCTGCAGCGAGCTCGCTGGTGCTTCGTCTTCTGGACACGTACGATACGACGATGAGTTGCATGGGATTTGCATCGACAGGGAGAAGGAGAAGCAAAGGAATTTGGTACCGACTGAGAGGTGTACAGAGATTCGAACGCGCTACGGAGTAGTACAACCCGAGAAGAGATGCTCATCGGGTAAATGTGCCAAAGGTTTTCAAAATCTGGGTTTGAAAACACGGATCGACACAAAGACGGAAGCCGGAGGCCGGAGAAAGGCTGCGATGGATAGGTAGGGCAACTGGACGCATCTACACAACGTCAGGCAGGCAAAGCGCCTTGGGTTTGACTCGGTAACCGCGCGCGGCAGCCGGCAGGACCGCACCGCAGGATGTCCTTTCGCCGGCGCATGCAAAATCCTGCCCGTGTCGTTTCCTTGTCCGTCGCTCGCCCCCCACGCTGCCCCAGTCGCCCAGTCCAGTTCCAGTCCCCATAAGAGCAACTGGTAATCAGGATATAGAGTCTTTGCACCAACCATCTTCAAAAATAAAAAAAATCCATGCATGGACTCGATGGCTTAGGATTACTGCACTAATAGAGACTCACTTCTGCTCCAAGCAAACAGCGAGTGCTGAACTGCTGAGGAACCGCAAGCAACGGGCAGAAATGATGCTCGCTTTGGCCCACCAAGAAGTGGCCTTTGATACAGCAGTATGCAGGAGTAGTATCAGCTTTGCTAGGCAGCCGGCAGGCCGTCGGCAGATTAGCATTAGCTTTAAGCCTTTAACAGATACGCGGAGGCTTATCGAGCTGAAATGTACTATGCTGCTGTGCAGACTCCCTCTCGCTCGAACTACTTCAACAGTAATTGTTTTAGTAAACAAATAATATTTTTCTCTCGTCAACAAATCAATATAAGCATCAGTATAAGCTAAATTTCAGCAAAGTGAATAGGGGCTTCCAGCACATTGCAAGGTTGCCCCGAATTCTCTGATCTGTTGTCAAACAAACACTGTGCTTACGCCAGATTTCACTAGTCTGTCTCGATAGTCACTCATCAGGTACACTCGCCATGGCCAGTTTTTGTAAACTTTGCAGGAAGTCAAATCCCTTGCATAGCGTGCAGTAACAGGAGACAAGAGAATCACACTTGCCGACTTGCGCCATACGAGAACTCAAGTACTGTATCCTGAATGTCAAAGAGAAGACGACCCTTTGCCTTGCCTTGCCTAGAAGAATGTTCCACGAGAGTATACGTACTACCACTTGAGCAGACAGGGGCTACGGGTCAAGTCCAGCACCCCACAAGTAGTCAGGGTTCGAGAGCCCCAAGCCCTAAGGCCGCCCGCCCAAGGGTAAATCGTACGTGAACGAGCAACGAAACGAACCGGCCAAACCGTGGCTCCTGGTTCGTCCGGTCTCCCCTGTCGAGACTCCTCGCCCGGGGACGGAGTGGGTGCGTAGTCGCCGGCGAGAGCCCGTCTGCTACTGCTGGCCCGGAATCCGATTCGTCCGTTTACGTGGCGCCGGGGAGATTGGCCATAACGGCGTCGGGGCACTAACAAACAAAGGCTGCTAAGTTTTCCTTTTTTCTGTATTATATATTAGTTTATTTCTTGTAATTTCTGCTATCCGTTTTAAGACCTTGATTGGATCATACTCAATCCATCCCAAATTGTAAGACGTTTGATTTTTTTGACATCAAGTTTGACCACTCGTCTTATTTAAAAATTGTGTAAAATATCACTTCTTTCGTCGTGGTTTGGTTTATTAATAAAAATTCTTCAAGAATGACTTAAATTTGACTATATTTGCACAATTTTTTTGAATAAGACGAGTGGTCAAACTTGGGGCCAAAAAAATCAAACGTCTTACAATTTGGGATGGAGGGAGTATAGTTTAAAATTTAGCCACTAAATTTTAGTTCGCTTTAGCTTTCCAAGCTCTGTAATGATGTCTAAGTTTAGCCAATCTCACAAAAAGATCATTATTTTATTAAACCGCACAAGTGAGCTACAGTATCTAAAATTTAGTCTTTAAACTTTAGACAACTAATAAACAACTAAATTTTAATCCATATAATCAAACGGAGTCTAATTTGTTTTTCTTAAGAAAAACTGCAGAGGATCTCGGGAGGATGTTCTATTTTGTCTTTTGCTTATCGCAGCCACCGCCAAAGGCCAATTATTTTGCGAAACCAAACTACATGGGTTCTGCTAAGATTTATACTAATCATCTTCTTTAAAAAAATTTGAGCTGTTGGACCAAATAAGTGCTAGAGATTGGACATTCTTCACTTGGAAGGCTTGAATATAAGATTATATATTATATAGGCTTATCATCTAGTCTTTGTCACCGTTTGCCTAGGTTAGCACTTAAAAAGTATTCCATGACAAGCATGAAAACCATCATCCAAAGCCTTTTTTATGTATCCAGTGACCAACTGACCATCATCCAATTTTGCGTGCCACATAGATGGAGACACTACGACATCACATCAGTACCATGGCCTACCAGTTAGTTACACCAAAGAAGAACGTTACAAACCGCCCCCAAAAGATAGAGGGAAATGATTCTGAAATAAAGTGCCGCCAGTGGCTGCTTTCAGAAAACATACATACGTTATAGTTGGTAGGTTCGTGTTTTCAAGTTTGAATGTCAGTATATGGAGTTATGGACCACCACAATTTGGCCGTAGCTTACCAGAATAGAGAATACTTAATACTAGTACCTAACATGGAACTGCAGGAAGAAGAACTGGTCCTGGAGGGGGAAATGTTTCGCCAACTCATGCTCGCCAGCAATACTGAAGTAGAAGACACTTCAGGTAATTTTTTATTTTTTATTTTTTATGTATCCTGTTTGTTTAAACAAAAACAAGGACATGCAACGCAAACGGCAGCAGAGTAAGAAACGATAAAAAAAAATGGCCTTCTTTTCTCTAAGAACTATTCACATCAAAGCACCATTAATTCATAAATATATCAGACAAGAAGACAGTGGAGAAAGGTTTGTCGCAAGAAAAAAGAATGTAAGGGAAGAAAGGCGTCCGAATTGTTTGGAGTAGGCTAAGAAACTCTTCTCTCAATAAAAAAGAAAGGAAAAAACACGTTCGAATTGTTTGGAGTAGGATAAGGAAAGATGCACGCAACAAGCCAACAAGCAATCTCGGTGAGTGAAATAGATAAACGCAGGTTTATTTGTTCACCATTTTTTCTAACATAGTAACATACAAATGTTAACTCCAAGAGAAACATTAGAGGATCAAGCAATGCGGTAGCATGCTAACTAAATACTAGCAGCATTAATGCAGCTCATGTATTCACCGCACAGTTTGAGCATACAAGATCTGCAATTATATTGTCATATACTCCTACATATGACACGTAATATGCTGAGGAAGATGTTTGAGCTAGAACAGAACAAATATCTACAGTTAAGAGTTTAGGTCAGGAATTATGGCATGGTACTACATTCTCAACCATGTGTAGGGTCAATAAGCATCATGCAGTGATGCGATTCAAATTTAAGCCACCTTTGGAACACAGGAAAGCAAAATCGCAGGAATAGGAAAATCATAGGAATATCACAGGAACGTAGTTGCAAAACAGAGGATTGGAAAACATAGGAATTTTGATGGAGTGATCATTTGGACAGGACACAGGAGAAACGTAGGATTTCTACCAAGAGCTTTGAGTGGATGTTAGATTTCCTGTAGTTTTCCTCCAAAACTGCAGGCAAAGGAAAAATGCCTGCATTATTCCTATACTCCATTCCTATGAACCAAAGGCATGAACAGTGGAAAATCCTATAGGATTCCCAGTCCTATGTTTTTCTTCTGTTTGCAGGTACTACAGCATGATACAATTGTTGTATGGTTTTAAGTTTTAACCTCAATTTGAGCAACCTTCAAGCTAGTCTCTCTAAATATCAATTGTTGTTGAGACAGCCATGCTGGTCTGTAAGTTCCCAAGAATAAAAGCATCCCAAGAAACCTGCGCTGATACAAGTAAGATACCAACCTTAACTAAGTGATGTTCAGAACAACTTTACATAAATCCGGCTAGCAGGAACTTTCCTGCAAGAAGTGCACTAATCTTGCTTCATGGCAAAGATGGAAAGGTCACTACAATGTGATATAAAGGTGGAATGAACCTGTGCTGTAGCTTCTGACAAGAGCTAGTTAGAATTTGGACACTGAGAGAATTGTGATTTACAACATTGAGTGCAAGAAGTAAATCAAACTTGTGCACAGGAAAAATAAGTTTCTAAGTCGAGCAAAACTAAATGTTAATACACAAGTTAAACTGTTATCAACATCTGCTTTCTTAGATGACACACTGACCAAAAGGCATCCACATGTAAACAGAGGAAATGAATTTTAGTAAGACTGATTGTACATTTTACAAAATTGTAAGATCTACTATAAAAGTAATACATCATGAAAAAATTGTCACTAATAGAGATATTATAAACTTCACTCATTTATCTAGAGAAAGAAATCATCGCTGACAACTAGTTAGAAAAACATGGTACAGAACATGTCTAGTTAGAAACTCCCAGGTACATCTCATGTACCTTGTACCTTCAGACCCAGGATGACATGTCCTTTCATTGTTGAAAATAGTCTCTTCAAGCATCACAAGGGTGATATTCCATCAGGCAGCAGCACTGAAGAGAAAAGGCAGCACACATCCTGCAAGATAATCAGTTCACAGATGCATAGTTTAAGAAGCAGGTCCGAGTACAGAACAAATGCTTCAAAGTTGGTAGCTATCAACACCCTAAACTGAATATCTATGCATTTAGCTGTGACAGCTGAACTAACCATATGCACAGAATGAACAATATTCAGCATTTCAGCAACCATCATGTCTTTACTGATCTAAGACAAGTAAGCTTTGGCCCTTATAAAACATTACAGAACTATTGCACTACTGAAAGTACATCTCAAGTAAGATAAAAAGGCAAGGACTCATACCTATTGTACACCATATATTGATATGTGATCCCTACTCCAGAAATTCTTCCATAAGACCCTATAGTAAGTTCAGCATCGTATTATTACCAAAGAGATAGTGAAAGGACATCACAAAGAAACAGACAGCAAACCTGTGATATAAATTGTTCAGCATCTGTGCGCCTTAGGAAATGGAGTGAGTTCTTGGTCAATGATACAGAATGGTCACCAAGAGATACTTCGCCGATGTCCTCCAGCACCCGAACCTGAATGTAAGGATCCTTGGGAGGAACCATGTCCTGTAATAAAGGGTATTAGAAGTCTGATAAATCTCTCATCCCGAATAAAGCATAAGAAATAGAAAAAACACCATACCACTGTCAAATCTATATCCATCTCCGATATGTATGATTTAATGGCTGCAGAGTGGTTCTTGAAGTACTCTTTCTCTGAGAAATGGAGCTTTTCTTGTATGTCATGAGGAAGCACAGGGCCAACTTTCCATCTAAAACTCTGAATAACTTCTGCTCGGTTGTACCTGTTTGGATAGAATTCATTCAGCTAAAGTACACGCAAAATCAAATTTAAGCATGTGCTATCAGCATAAAACAGAGAAACAAAGGTTAGCTCATCTGAGAACTTTTAGTTATGTACATGTAAGCCATAAGGCATCTTTTGTTACGGAGCAGGGAAAGATGGTGGATAGCTGCACCATAGTGATCCTCATTTCTAGTTGTCTCAATATCTAAGTTTTGCTCCACCATTTTCCTGTCATAAGCCAGGCCTTGTCAGTAAACTGTGCATTGGAAATGTCTATCAATCAGGGTAGCTTTGGATCAAGATGGTCAACATTCTAGTAGGAATGTAGGGTACAATTTACCTGATCAGTGATTGAAATTGTGAATTGTGCTCACTGCACTCTCTAATCACCTGATCAAACACGTCAGTCTGCACATTTTCAGAGATTGCATGTTAGGTACGAAAGAAACTAAAAGGAACTGTTGCTGTCAAAGTCACATTGCTTCTTATAATGGAAGAGTAGTATAAATTTTTTCAACCTTTTTTTGCACTATATAATGACAAGTACACAATATTGCAGCTAGTACCCTTAGTTTGCTTCCGAAGATGTCATAACACGTAATTGTTTACATCCATATCAAAATACACATGGTAAAAAAAATATGATTATGAATTAATGAAACATGTAGTGATCTCTTTTTATGTAAATCCATAGGTATGGACAGGGTCTAACTTGATGGAGAATTAAACCAGGTGTCCAGGTCCAATACGAGTTTCTTCCAAATTTGGATAGCACATACTAACTAACATGTTTAGAAGGGAGAAGAGTCTAAAAGGCACTGGCTCAGTAGCTCAAAAAATTGATATAACTTTGTAGGCACATCTGTCAGCCAAACCAACAATATTTAATCTGACGATTTATGACTTTTTAGGTGCTCCCAAAACAATACTTTCAACTGAGGATACAAAAGGTTTTCTACACGCAATTTCACCCATTGAACACAGAACACACTAGATCCTACAAAATTGCACCTGCCACAGTCACAAACGAGATAAAAGCAGCAATCACTCTGATTCCAAACTAGTAGCTGCAGGTGAGTACAGAGAAGCGGGAATTACGTTGAATGGCGCAAGCTGGCCAGCCTCGGAGGAGTCAATCTCCTTCAGCAGCTGCGATGCACGCCTCCCATACATCCTCCTGAACCCGCTGGCACTTGGGTATTCCTGAGCGGGGAAGCAAAAAAATGTTCAATCCAAATTCCAAAGGCGAAAAGTCTACAATCACACGTGAACTAAAGTATAAATGTTTAGAGTAAAGATTTCTCAACTATTTAAGAGAAAGCACAAGACATTATGAAATTACAGTATAATGACATTCTCAAATAAAAGTGTCCCTTTATACCTTGGAAGTGTTTGCTGTTGATGATGTCACTGTCCTTAACTTCCATAAAAATTCATGTTCACTACAAACAGCCAAGCAATAGTTCATGATAGATTCTCCATTCTATATCTTAAACTTATTTTTTCACACAATTCATTCAGGGAAAATTCATTTCAATACTAACAGTTGCTACTTACTACAGGAAGAATTAGCATCAAGTTGAAAAGCTTGTAAACATCCTCGGGCCTGCTCTCTGTAGCTATGCCGCAAACAACTGTGATTTACTGTAGATAATACCTGAAACAGCCACAGCAAGCTCAAACGAGCAGGCTGCTCATGTTTTGGGGTTCTTTATTTCAACAAACATAATCGAAGGTCAGCAAGATTTTCCGCTTTTCTAAACCTTTCATCTCTACATACAGGTATCGGTAATGAAGTGGTCAAGTTGAAAAAGGTTATATACTTGAGAATCTTTGGATAAAACTGAGCAAGCTTAGCCAAGTTTATCGATCCCCTTTGTCTTGTGCCAATTTCTAAATATTTCGTTCACGAAAGCATCTCTAGTTCTCTACTAAACAGGGGAGGAGCCGGTAAAGGAAATGGCACCTGATAGTTTTTTGCAAAGGAATTTGAAGTTAGTAAGCGTAACACACATACACTTGTAAATTAGATCAGATCCAAATACAAATGGACAGATAGCTTAAGTTAGGGTTTGGGTGCTCGGTTTCGCACGGCAGGGAGGGAAGAGAAGGGGTGGGTATACCTGGTGGGTGCTCGTCGCCGGTGAAGGGCCCGACGAAGACCTGGCACCTGGCCTAGGGCGGCGGCGGCGGCGGTTGCAGTGTCGGTCACCCACTCGTCGCCGCTCGCCACGACGCCACCAGAGAGAGCGCGCGCAGGTCTTTTCTCTACTCCTAAAAAGAACAAACCGGACCCATTCGCTCCTCGTGGTGAAGCCGCAGGCGCCTAACACCTTCCCTGCGATTTTTTGGCGCCGACATGTGGGCCCATGCTCTCTCCTCGCACGCGCCTCCGTCCGACCGTCCGTGGATCCCCTCCCTCAACATGCCTTGCCATCCGCTCCCCTTCCGCAACCTGCATCGCCCTGCCGCCGCCGCCGCTGCCCTGTCCTCCTCGCAACCATTGATTGGCCGCCCATCTTCCTCGCAGCCGATGCCGCGAATTCGATGTCCGACGCCGGCACCAATACGCAATCTCACATTCTCTCCGTCGCTCTAGACCAGATCCCGGTCAGTTCTCACATCGTCGGGCGAGTGGCCGGACGCAGAGAAGCTCCCCACCGGCGCTGTTGCCTCCCTGCCCCGCTCCCCTGACGCCGTTGAGCTTATCATCGTCGCCTCCACGCGCTGCGCCACCAGGTACGTGCCGCCGCACCCCCGCTGCAACGCCAGCAGCCTGTGGAGGCCTCGCTGCCCACACACCCGACCCGACTCTAGGTCCGGCTCCGCTTGCCTCTCTCGCTCTGATTCCTCCGGCCCCGTCTCATGCACAGGTCAGGTCGGTCGACCGTGCGGTGTCCACCATCCTGTCGCGCAAGCACCAGGCAGCACCGATACAGTGCACCGCTGCTAGCCAGGGGCGCGGCTGTGGGGCTCTGCCTCAGCGCGCTCGCCGTGCTCGCTCGCAAGCCACAAGAATCTCCTTGATTCCATTTACTCGCATGCTGAGTCTAGCTTGGGTTGGCGATTCCGTTTATGCCTCAGACATTCTGCTGCGGCGCAGGTACTTGGAGGCCGTTCCTGTATTCGGTGTTCCAGTTTGTCGCCCTCGCCGAGCACATGAATAGCATTTGATTCCCCATCCCAAGTGTCACCTGTACGACTTAACCATGGATCAGGTTTGTGTTTCGTGATAATTTTACCGCACACTTTTCTTAGACTTCTTTAGGGCTGTGCAATTGATTGTCCTCGTGATTATGATGAGATGTTTGCATTCTGATTGTCCTATCCTGTGTTAAACTTTGCATCATCCAAATTTACGATGAATCATTATGGCTGTTAATTTCTACCTATTGAAGTTGAGCAGAGAATATTCAACATCAGAGTGGAAATAAAATCTTTGCATGCATACTACTCAGCATATGTGACTGCTCTTGTCACTTCATAGATGAGGATCAGCAAGATCAAATCCATGTTCCACCAATTTCATTTTCGCGGTCACTGCATATGTGTTCAAATGTTTGTTTTACAGTCACAGTGAGTGAGCAGTTGATGAGATTGCTTAGTTAATATGTCTTCAAGTAAAGCAAAATTATTTCATGAGGATTATGTGCTTGAGTGCATAGAATTGCAGGATCACTAGCTGGCCCCTTCCTGGTTTCTTATCTGAACTGAGGAATTACAAGGCCTCCTTATAATGCTGCTGTAGTATACCATCTCTGCTTCAAGTTACTATTTGTTTACCTGACCTTCACATCTCTGATGCCGCTCCCACTTTAAATGATCAGCTGCTTCGCAAATAAAGCAGAAGATTTTAATCTTATAGGCTTATAGCACAACAAAAACATCTTGTTATTGGTGCATTACATCTGATAACAATGTTACTGCCTTTGCCGATCACAATTCAGGATGGCGGTAGTGAGAAGGGATGAGGAATGGGCAGCCACGGCAATGGCAGGAGAGCTGGTTGTGGCAAGTTGGAGCCGAGCTTCAGCTATTTATTGGCAATGAGGATGACAAACCGGATGTTGCTTGAGTGTGTAATTATTAAGCAGTGGGGACTCCATGACTTGAACAGCAAAGATACGGTGTAGTAGTTCCATGACCTTTACATGTTAGAAGCAAATCTAAGAGTTCAGCCGATGACTATCCATGAGCTTCTCTTTGAGTTCATTTCCTGCACACCGTTGTGAAACTATGTTCCAGTTGTAGCACTTACAAATCATTGCTTGCTGGGGCAAGTTAATTTTGAGTTCTTCCATCCTGCAGGTGGGCTACTTGTCGCCTTCTCAGCCTAGCGCCCTAGCAGCATGCATGATCTCAATCTTCTCTCCTTAGCCGGGATTAGCCTCCTGTAAGGCTGTAAAAGAAAAAGACACAGGTCCTGCTCATCCGCAACTGACATAAACCTATTTGTTAGGTCTGTAAAAACGTTTAGTGTAAAAAAGTTTACTGAATTAGCTATCATATGAACTTGTGGCCCCCTGGTTATAGGAAAATAACACGCGGAGCTCTGCTGAGATTGCTTCTTCTTGTCTGCTAATTACCCAAATTTGTTTAGTGCCAGGTCTGCTGAGATTGCTTGTTGTTGTCTGCTAATTACCCCAAATTTGTTTAGTGCCAGGTCTATGCATACTCAAGGAATAATTGATTCTTGCAATCAGTAGTTCCTAGCACATCTAATAGGATTGTTCAGTGCCAGTCCTATACATACTCAACGAATAATTGTGCAGCCTGTTATAACTCATATTGTGATTTGGTAAAGTATGCCTCTTCTTGTTAGCAAACATTGAAAAAGTTTCTTTAGGAAGTCAGGGACATCTTTTCTTTTGTTTGAAGAAAAAGGTTCTAATCATTTAGACCCTCCAAAGAAATAGATAGCGTAAATGTCTGATGTATAGTAACTGACAAAGTTATCTAACAAATGCTTCAGAGTTCTCGGTTATCTAGATATCCTCGGTTGTTATTGGCTTATTTTATTATTGTTTACTTTTTTTCCCCTTCCATGATCTGTAGCTCCCGGTATAGCATGCTGTGCTAAGATAACATCTATAGATTTGCTCATGTAAAGTGTAGAACAAAGGGGTTGTGTGTGACCCATAGTGATTTCGTTTCTCTTTAGTTGTGTAATCTTGCTGTTGGTTTGGCTGCAGTTGAAGGACTCTGAAACTGCTACCAAGATATGAAATGAACACAATTCACAGTATCCAAAGCTTGTGAATTGCTGGCAGCAAGATCCAATTGAATGAAGGCGAAAATGGAGACTTGAAGAAATCCATGGGAATGTGCTGATGTTCAAACCTTGTGTCATATAAAAATGTACCTTGACATGGCTGAGCATCACACAACAGAAGGTTTAATATAATATTGCTTAATGAAAAATTGTAAAAATAGATAGCAAATTATGTGAACAGTAAAAATATATGGCAAATTCAAGCCTTGGGTAACCTTTTTTTAGTTTTTTTGTAATCTAAGACTGGCCGTCATGTTTGGCTTGGCTTTCCTGCTGTATTCTTGAATGTAAATGTTTGCCATCAATAAAATTCGTACCTTCCTAAAAAAACCTTTTTTAGATGAAGCCTTGGTTAGCTGAAAGGTGAGCTATTGGTTTCGGGACAGACTTGGCCCATGCATAGGCTGGCCTACATGTAAATTCTTTCTGTTCCTGTGCATGCTACTTTTGATGGAATGTATTACAATTTATATTGTTTTAGATGTAGAATGTATAAACAACTTATCTTATTAGTAAAACATTGGAAAGAAATAAACTATATTTACAAATTTGCTTTGATTTTTGAAGTGCCGAGCAATTGAAGCTTGGCACGTCATCTGATGAGTTAACATATTGTCTTCCTTACCGCTGGATCATAGGCTATTTTAAGTAAAATTTCAGTTATGATACATGATGGAATTTCTATTTCTATATTATATGGTTCCTGTTGTAACGCTCGGGCAAAAGCTAGTCTAAGGAAAAAGAGAGCGCGCGTGCGAGGTGAATCGGAGAACAAAAAGCAAGGCAGTGATGAATGAACGCAATCCTGTGACTACTGGAGCAGGCCTGGATGCTGCTAGGTACACAGACACAAAATATCGGGTTGGGTCGGGCCAGAAAAAAAATCAATTTAAATTTTTTTATTTGAATCTAACTGGACACACTGACGGCTTAGGCCCTGTTTGTCACGGCTCCACTCCACTCATAAAGTCTTTTTTTAGAGCTTCAGCTCCATGAAACAGCTATATGGGTGAAGTTGTAGCCGTTTTGATAAATCGTTTGGCAAAACAGCTTCACATATAGTTTTTCTTAAAATATGCTCGCAGAGAACGCCATTCAGAATGAGGTGAAGCCAAGAGAAGCCACTATTTTTGTCTCATTCGCACCCCAAAGCTCTGTGAGAGCATGTTTTTAGAGGCTTTATCGGTGGAGCCATTTTATTTTACCCCGTTTGACAGAAAACGGCTCCAAGCGGCTCCTGAAGCTGCTAGAGAAGTCCTGCCAAACAGGGTCTTAATGAAGTGTTTGGTCTCTAGCCACATGACGCAAGCCATGGCAACTACCACACTATCGGCTTGTTCGCTTATCAGTCATGATATAGTGTTTTTCTCTTACGATAAGCTAGCACCAATCAAGTTTATTAGCCTAGCGAACGGGCTATATGTCACACTGCTGTTTGGTTACCGACTGAAGTTAGATAGCCACACCTTTTACGGGTCGTATTTTCGTCATGGTTGTGGCGTCCGATTCTGTCGTCACCGAGTGTGGCGAAACACGCCCTAAATTGGGTCTGAGTTATTTTTTCAGTTTTCACACTTTGGGTGAGGCTGGCTCGGCCAATTCGCCACAGCCCTTATCCTTCTCGATGTATCGGCTCCTCTTTCTCGAGGGTTATTTGCTTACACCCCTGTGAGACGGGTGTATCTTCTACACCTAAAAAATTACTAACATTATCGTCTGCTGCCCCGCCACTCCTAATTACTAACCTTATCGTCTGCTGCCCCGCCACTCCTAATTACTAACCTTATCGTCTGCTGCCCCGCCACTCCTAATGTCCGACACGCTAAGCTTATCGTCTGCTGGCCGCTCCTAATGTCCGTGTACGACACGCTGCTGACCGCTCCTAATGTCTGTGTCCGACACGCTCGACTTCAACGCGGCTTCTCCGGTTGTCCCACACGCCGGCCAGGCGGCCACATTCTCGGCGCTCCTCGCTAGGAATCTACGATGCCTGCTGCTCTCCAGCCAAGCCCTGCTGCTGCTCACCACAATGAAGCACGGGCAAAGCATGCGGCCAAGCCATCCTGCGACGTGCTCCTTGGAACAGATG